TTATTTTCTGAATTGCATCTTCTATTTCCTCCTCTCTCGTTAGAAAATCAAAAATGTCACCCGACGATTCACAAATGTGTATTTGTACCACTGTTTGGATTGCTGCTTCAAGATATTCCCTTTCTGGTTCTTGAGTGTAGAAAATTTCAATATGGTGAAGTCTACATGGAACTTTCATTAATGTTGCACCAAAAAAATTACCCTGAAAATTTTCACCTTCAAGAGTGGCACTCATTACAACCAGCTTAAGACTGGGTATGTTCTTTTGTTCCTTTAGAAGCGCAAACAAAACATCAGTAGCTAACATTCTCTCATGAGTTCTATCAAGAATTATCATTTAATACCTCTCTAGAAGTGGATCTTTCATGGCTTCTCTCAATAACATGACATTTGTTAAATACCTATAGAACCACAGAATGACCGTCAGTTGGCTAATCAAATTAAGCATATCATTTGCAGTTATAAGTATTTTACAAAATCATACTTCAGGATGGTTTTGGCACTGCTACAATCTTCAAAACCGATGTTGTAATATACTTCCTCTACAATTGTCAAGTTCATTTCCTTTACAACTCACGATAAACTAACATTTCAGCCACCCTACGAGGTTGGGTACAACCAACTATGTATTTCTTGCATCTATTAGACACCAGCACTCTCTACCTTCACAACTTTAAGATAAACTGAGGAATCTAATGTTCACGATATAACATTAAAATTTTATTTCAATCCCACATAATTAACAAGTTATCTAATTTTATCATACCAATATCTGATAATCACTTTCAAAACCTATATTGAAAAATCCCCTAAAGCCAAAGGACCAGAGAATTAAAACAATATATCTATCAAACCATACGATTCCGTCGAGAGTGAGGCCAGCGATTCCTGAAGCAGAAGGTGATGGGTGAAGCCATTAGTTTGAAGTAGAAGCGAAAAAAAAAGATACTTTAATTAAGATGAAGTTAATGACCAACCTGATGGTGAATGAGGAGATTGTTCAGAGCGGAGTATCAACCTTTGATTTGGTCGATCGAACTGATGTAAGTGACTATTCGCTGTTTGAGATGAAGTAGATAAATTAAGAAGAAGCCGACTAAGAGTTTGATAATTACAAAACGAGGCATTGTTTGATTTTCCATTGATGAACAAAGGTGATGGAATAGGGTTAGGGTTCCGTCGAAGGTGCTAACTGCTGATGGAGTCGCATGTGTTGTATGTGGAATGAAGATGTCAAATGGTTGTTGATAAAACTGTTTGAAATTGAGATCCTATTTTAAAGGATTATTATTTGATTTATGTATTTATAATAATTAAATATAGCTACTGTTACTATTTTTAAATGATTGGTTAGGAATTAGTCATACATTCACATGGTATTTAAGGTTCATATATAAACCTAAATCTCTCTCTCTCTCTCTCTCTCTATATATATATATATATATATATATATATATATATATATATATATATATATATATATATATATATATATATACTAGCTGTTTACCCGCGCCAAGCGACGGGTGTGAATAGTTTGTTTTGGCAATTAGTTTCTTTTCGGAAGGCAATGATAAAGTTCCATTTCAACGATTCTTTGCATTTAGGAAAATGTGATATTGATAATAATATAATGTATTAGCAAGTATCACTACGCGTTAGTTTCAATTCAGCAATTTTATTTTTTACTTTTTTGACGAACAATGTGTTTATCGCTTCAATTTTGAGGTGACTCGTCGTTCTAAAAAATCCTCCAAACTAATTATTTTTATTATCTTATAAGCTTTTGTATTATGATATAGTTTTAAATTTTCGTTGTATTGAACAATCTTCAAAAGGATTGATAAAAAAATTTTAATATATACATGTGACGATACAATAAATATTTTAAAAGAAAGTTCAATATTTTTATGACACAGTGAATTGTTGAATGTAACCATTGTTTGTTACTTGATTACGAAATCCACATATTTAAAGTACATTGTTATTTATGTAACGACTTTATACATATTTGTTTATTTAAGAAAAATAAATTAAAATATGATAATAACTTAAATAAACAAATAAAAGTACCAGACTAATCTTGGGCTAATTAACCTTTTTTGATGTCAATTGCTTTAATTTTCGTTTATCAAATTGACCCATGTTTCCATGATAATCCTAATTTTGAAAAAAAAAATAGCAAGGTCATAAAATATAACTGATATTTAGAACAACTTAGGGTATTGTCATTGTCAAATGGCTATAAATCAAGACATATAAACTAATGTTAATAAGAGATTGCAAAAATATGAATTTATTATAGAATATGATATTACAAACTTGCAAAATCGTTTATTTAAACAATGAATAAATGATTTCCCAATTCCATTATGCTTTCATTTTTTCATATTAAAATATCACTTTGAAATTAGATTCAAGAAACACATTGCAATTTTAATTTCTACTAACTAATACATTATACTTTAAAAATCTAAACATATTAAAACTATGAATATCTATTAAGATTGGGTTTGTATTCCTTATCCTTGGCATCGAGGATAACAGGGGAGCATCCTTTTGAGAAAAAAAAATATAAAAACCACAACACAATAAAAACACAAAACAAAGGATTGATCAATTTTCTCATAAAAGAGTAAGCCTTAAATAAGAGGTGGCATAATAAGCCTATTAAAAAAATTAGGCTGTCAAAAGAGAGAAAATGTCTCTACCATGTGTCACAAATGGTGTTATGTTGGCTGCTAAAAAGATTTATTGTAAACAATTGCTTTTATGTTATACATTCATTCCACATCAAACCCATGTGTTGAAGTAGTGTTTGTGTTAGTGACGAACAAACATGTAAAGAATAAATATCTGACCATACTTTCAAATAGACCTTATCCTTGTCTATAAAAACTCTGTCAGACTTGCCACAATGTAGGCCCACCCTTATCCAATGGAGTTCCATCGAGCCACCTGCTGTAAGTAGGATGTAGATGAGATGTTAAAAAAGTATATAAATAACTCATGATTAAAACAAAGAAAATAAACTTATATGTCATCCTTGTATGATGGAATGGTATCTTAAACAATTTGTTTAGCAAAACTTACAACTCCACTAAGCTGATCAACTTGGCAAAATCCAAAGGGACACTTCAAGGCATGTTCTTAATTGTTAGACAATTTCTGCATAAAAGAGTATAATTGTCAATGGTTAAGACAGAGATCCATGCATCTATATTCTCCAATTGTGCATACAACGAAAAAGTTGTTATATGAAGTCAAAAGATATATTCTACCACATAGACAATATGTGTTCATATAAACAAAGGCACACACATATACATAGTTAGAGAGGGATAGGTTCAACGATGGTGGTGTTTTTTTATAGAGAGACACAAAGAGAAACTCACATGTGGTGCCCTGATTTGTCTAATTAAACATCAAATTTTTAATTCAGAATCCCCTTTCATTTTTTCTTACCAGCATCATCAGTTTAATCCGATTAGTCTCCAGGAAACCTTTAAAATCTTAGCTTCGCAAGCCATGACAGTGATTAAAAACCCAATCCAACTTGTAATCCTGTAAAACCAAAAATTATAAGTGTTAAAACAAAAAACTATAATCGATTACTGTAAAATAATACATCCACGAACAAAAGTCTTATGCTTTACAAGTGATGGTAATATCCATGGCCATTTGACGCCATTATACATAAAAAGAAAAGAAAAAAAAATATATGGAGGCTTAGTGATTGAAATCGAATGAAAAGTGAAGTTTAGGGTTTGAAATCGCCCTGGCCACCGTCGTCTGAATCATTTTGTGATGTTTGAACTCACTGGATTAGAAGCTTCATACCTAAAAAAGTTTTACATATTTTGATTTCAAGAAAAAAAAAATCAAAATCAAAACTCAAATCCAACGTTATCGCTGGAGGTGTTGGTGGTTCTGGAGATAGAGAAGAGCAGCAGCACCAAAGAAGCTTGAGGAGAGTAGCGGTGTTAGATTCATTGATTTTGCACAACATATTCAACCACTTTCGTATCAGTTTATTCCTGTGAGCTTAATTAGGAATCGATGATTTAAAAGCATTGATAAGAATCAATGATTTAAAAGCATAGGTAGAATAATAATCAACAAAATGACAAAAAGAATTATTAAACAAAATGAAGAATAGATCAAGACTTTGTATACATGGGCTTGGATTAAACAAAAGACATTTTTGGCTCATTCGATTGTAGTAGAAAGAAAAACCATAGGTGGAGGCAGAGGCGGCAAGCATGAGAGAGAATCAGGGGAGTCGAAGTCGACGTCTAGGGTTTCTTGATAAAACTGATGCTAGATTAATGTGCCCAACGGGGCTTCTATTTGAATGTCTAGATATAGGGGAACTGCAGAGATACCGGAAGGAGCTGGGTCAAAGCCTAACTATTTTACTACCTTAATTTTCTGTAATACTGTTAACGCATAAAGTCATTGTAAATATTGAAGTAAGGCTTGTACCTCTTAAAATTCAGCATTTGATGCTAAATGTTTATTAAGGTATATATATATATATATATATATATATATATATATATATATATATATATATATATATATATCAAAAGTTATGTTGACTCATTCTAGTCAAAAAGTATGATATTTTTAAAATTTAAATCATCTATATTGGGTAAGATAAGGATGTAGATTTGAATGTTTTTAATATTAATTTTACATTTGTACTTAATGTATTGTATTTTGTAATTTATTGATAAATGTTTGTACATTCAGCTTAAATGTTTGGACGTCTTAAATCTATTTTTAGAAATAGTAAGGTTTGTATAATAAGATAGTATATATATATATATATATATATATATATATATATATATATATATATATATATATATTGTTTTAATCTTTGCTTAGTATAGTGGGTTTCAATATTCAATACTTTTGAAGGAAACGACAAGGGAAGAACCCAATGCATTATGCATAGACTGAAGAAAAGGCCTTACCTTCCACATCGTTTCCCTATAAATTCATCGGTTTATCTCAATACCCTAATACAAAGAAAGCCATGGCCACCATCGTAACCGTTGAACATGCTCATCCTGGTGTCGATGCTGAGCTTCTAAATAAGGCCTGCCATGGTTCTAGATCTTATCTCTCTAATCTTTCTTCGTCCTATAACTTATATCAATCTTCTTGCTCATTTATATATTTATTTGCATTTATATGAACAGGATGGGGAACCGATGAAAAAGCTGTAATAGCGATTCTGGCACATCGAAATGCTACTCAAAGGAAACTGATAAGGGAGGCTTACCAAGACATGTATGATGAGGATCTTGTGAACAGATTTGAACATGAGCTATCTGGTGATCTTGAGGTATTCGTGATGATAATCTACTGTGTTTTTTTTTTTTTTTTTTTTTTGGATGTTATCTTATGAATGATGTGTATGGGTTAATCAATGTATGTAGAGAGCAGTGTACCGATGGAATTTGGACCCTGCAGATCGGAATGCAGTGCTAGCAAGTGTAGCTATACATAAGGAGCACCATGACTATAGAGTGATCATTGAAGTATCATGCACTCTTTCTCCGGAAGAGCTTGCTGATGTCAAGCATGCTTATCACTGCCGCTACAAGCGCTCTTTGGAAGAAGACATTGCTTCGCATACTTCTGACGATCTCCGAAAGGCGAGTCGTATTGGTTTGATTTCCGTTTTAATAAAATATTTAAAAACACACATCTAACAGAGGATATTTATCTTTGGTACAGTTACTTGTAGGTTTGGTGAGCATACATAGGTACCAAGGTGATGAAGTGAACTTAAAATTGGCAAAGTCTGAGTCGAGCATTCTTCGTAATGCCATTGAAGAGAAAACATTTAACCATGAAGAAATCCTCCGAATTATCACTACAAGGAGCAAACCGCAACTCATGGCTACTTTGAATCACTACAAAGATGAACATGGTTGCAATATGACCAAGGTATATAGGAATTTCATTAATAAGATACGGTGTTTTATGTATTTTTATTATAAAAAAAAATCATCGATATATTGAAAACTCAATGTTTATCTTAACCATTACAGCACTTGAAGGATGATCGGGACAATGAGTACACAGAAACACTACGTACCACGATTAGATGTATGAGTGACCCGATTAAGTACTTTGAAAAGGTTAGCCTTTTTGTTATTCACGTCTTTGACACACTAATCCATTAAACCACATGGGCTAGTGCTATCAGCCATTTTCAAACATCTTATAAAACATATTGTAAATCATATATAAATACGAAAATTACGCACAAGAATCCTATTCAAACTCTATATTTGAAGGCCGACTACCAAATTTATAATCAAATAACCACTTACATGCCAATATTTTACATAAAACGTATTTCAAAACACATATTTATAAATTTTAATAGGTGATAAAATATAATATATTATATAACAAGTAATAAATTACAAAAATATTTAAATACATCTAATAAATTCTGTCTATAATATGAAATGATTGATAACAAAAAGTGTAGTTTAAAAATAATTAGACAAAAACCGACCATAGCACGACAAACTACCAATATTATCATTTGTGGAATACCATCTATGTTTATTGGATGTATGCCAACTTATAGGTGATCCGTAATACAATTAAAAATAGTGGGACTAACGAGGATGCACTAACTCGGGTTATCGTTACAAGAGCTGAGAAAGATCTAGAGATTATCATGGAGCAATATTACAAAAGGAACAGTGTGCCACTTGATCAAGCCATCGCAAAGGAAACTTCGGGTCATTACAAGAAGTTCCTTCTTGCACTACTTGGGAAGGATGATTAGTTCACAACATTGGTGTCTCGAGTTTGAGTTTTCAAATTAAAGTTTATGAGGTTATTGTTCTTGGTTCAAAATTTGATGTTATTTATTTCTCAGTGTGTTTTGTATGTGCTTTTCTTGTCTGTGAACAAAGCAAGTGATTGTGTGATGTATGGTTAATCATGTACTATCTTATTAAGAGAACTTTTGGTGATATGTTTCAAGGAGTGACTAATTCTAAGCTACCCGGCGTGCTTAATTAAACTCGATTTGGGATTAACAACCATCGGCATGCATTTGTTTTCGGTTGTGGTGTTCGATAGGGGTGGATCTTTGGTTGTCTGCTCTTACGGGTTGTATCCAGTCGTTTAATGGCAGACTTTGATCTTCCATCCATTGTTGTAATCGATCTGTTTTACATGTATAAATCAGGTTTCTTGGAAAATTTGTTCAACAAATAATGTTAACTGCGTTCATCGTGTGATTTTTAATGCATCTTAGTGATTTTCTTCATGTACATTGTTTATCGGTTGTTGATTTATGTTTTATTGATTTTGTTCATGATTTAATTTACCGGTTGTTGATTTGTGTGTTTTGTTTAGATGAAACATCATAATCAACGTTGTTCTTTTCTATGAAAGCAATATGTGTACATAAAGGCATTAGAATTGAACAACATTGATATGATTTTATTAGGGTAGGAAGTAGATATCTGACATATGTATGTTTTCTGCCTCATTGCATTGGTGTTATTTTTTCAGTTTGTTTGTTTGAATTGTAATGTCATGGAAAGTTTCTTTATGGTATCGATGGAAAGAGCCTAATAGGGAAGCTTAATTGATTGCTCAAATGAGGAAACTTAATGGAAAAGAATTAAGAAGATTTAAATTGTTTCACTTGTTGATAATGTGTGGGTGTGTTGTTTTAAATACTTTATGGAAGATTTGTGCAACAACTATCATATGCTGAAAAATGGTTTTATGTTGCAATCGTTCGACACTACAAATAAATATCGGATTACAAAATTTTAGGTTGAGCAGGATAGCAAATGAGAAGTATGTAGTATTAAATATATCTTCCTAGTACCAAATATAATATAATTTTCTTCTGACATTGTGAGTCTTACGAGGATTTTTGATGGATTGTTCAGGCAAGGAAACGTAGATGTATTTGTTGGTAAGAATCTTTCCCATTTGATAAATACTAGTGATAGAAGTTCGGACACCAAACATAAGATTATCATAACCGAATAGTAATCTATCCAACATGAGATATAAGTTTCCTCTGACATTAATATTCTCATAGGGAACTTTGATGAATTGTTCATGTTAGGAAATGTAGATGTATTTGTTGGTTATCTTTCCTGATTGAAAATTGCAAGTGATAGAAGTTCAAATCCTAGACACCAAATATAAGTTTAACAAAATCAAATAGTAACTATTCTGACACCGTACACAATCATCGGTCGTGGAATTTCAATTTGACTCGTAATAGCAAATAAATAGTATGTTCTCGGAACCAAGAATAGTTTTTCAGCAACATGATCATTTGATCAAACTGAACCTAATCTAAAGAATTTTCAATCACGAATGCAGATTTAGGAACCGAATATATCTTATCAACAACGTTAAGTTCAAACTGACAGAACATAATTTGAAGGAGGTTAAATCACATATTGTTATTTCAGGAAGGAACACATTTTTTGGTTGAGCTATTCTCATTGTTATTTCCATTGTAGTGTTTATTTCACCAAATTATTACTCCACATAAAATTATTATTTATATCTTTTGATACATTGACATAATGTATGTAATCAAAATATTGCAATAATACCTTGAAAAATTCCATTGATAATATTATTGTCTTGATAAATAATCTGTTACATATCAAATATAAACTCAAAATCACAATTAAATCTTTCATATAATCATCAACATCATTTTTCTACTCTTTGAGAGCTTCTATCACAACTTTATACAAATTTACCTGTAACGGCCTGTTCCGAATCGTTTCCTAATGCGGGGTGGTGACCCGAGGACCGAGCATCGTCAGGCTTAGGGCCTTTGAGGGAAAGAGATTTAGACCCATTTGGGTGTGGGTAATGTCATTTGGATGATCCGTGAGTTCGGTTTGTGTTTTGGAGCCAAGGGGTATTTCGGTCAAGTGTCAATTCGAGCTTTTATGGAAATTGGATTTTTTTTCAGGAAGTTTTAAGGCGAGTATGAGTTTATAGAAGTGTAGAGCTTCTCATTACCTCTTCGTGGATATAAGGTTCGTCGGAAACGAACTTATAACGAAGAAGTTATGGCATTCGGAAGTTTGGTATTTTTCAGAGTTTAATCGAGTATGTGGGGCGTACACATGTGTATGCATGGCGTACTAGTGATGAGGTCAGTACGTTGGGCGTACAATGGTGTACTTTGGGCGTACTAAGTAGTAGCATCACGAGTGCTCTAGGGAGTACGTTGGGCGTACTCCAGTCATACCCAAACCCTAATTTAGGGTCTTGGACCCTATTTAAGCTCCTTAACTCACCACCAAACCCTACTATCTTCAGCATCTGTCCCCCTAAACCTAGAAACAAAACCCTAGCCCCCATTTGAGTGGTTTTTGAGCTTTTGGTGGTATTTCATGTTTTTTAGTGCTCATAGAAGAAGAAGAAGAAGAAGAAGAAGGAACTTCTTGGAGAAGTGTGGGATTGCTTGAAGCTTTTGGATCCAGGCTTGTTGCATCTTGATCTACATTTTGGAGGTATAAAGTTTCTATCTTGATGACTCTGGGTGGTAGATCTAGTTTAAGGAGTAATTTGGGTTGTTTTTGCCCTTAGAGCAATCCTTTTGAGTATGAGCCAGTCGAAGAGCTTAGAATGACAGATCTTGGCCTTTGGGATGTCCATTGTTCATAAAAATGTCATATTGATGAGTTATTGTGGCGCATGCATGAGTTTAGGTGATTATTATAGATTTGATTAAGGTTTTGGTCCCATTGAGCCTTGCAAAGGAGTAAAATTGCCAACTTTACATGTTAAGACATCTCATTAGGGTCATATCCAAGTTTGGAAGTCATTTTCTTAACCATCAAGAGCCTATTTCGGATTTTTAGACCCTGGAGGAGTACGTTGGGCGTACGCAAGTGTACGCTCAACGTAATGTTGATTTTGTGCCTCAATGACTTGTACTCCATGCTTATAGGGTGAGTACACGGGGCGTACTCCCCATCTGGTCATTTCGGGCTTGTTGAAGTTAGGCCTTATTGGGCCATTAGGCTTCTGACTTTGGGCCATGGATGGACTTAGGGTTTTCTTGGAAGTAGTTCCATGATAGTTTTGGGGCCCAATCGGGTTATTGGGCCATAATGGGCTTTTGTTGCTTTTGATTTGGGCTTTGGTTTGCCATTTTGGGTTTTGGAATTTTTGTGAATTTTGCGATGGGCCTGGGTTATGGAACAAGTAAGAAAAGGGTAAAATGGTCTTTTACCCTTTTGGGAGTTGGTTTATGGAGTGGGCCTTGGATTTTTGATTATCGGGTTAATTATTGATTGAGATTATATTCATTGTTAGTTGGCGCGAGGTTATCTCGTTCAGGGGTTCGAGCAGTTATTTGATTATGAGCGAATTGAGGTGAGTCTCCTCACTATACTCGTGGGTCGAAGGCACCAATACCAGCCCGTTAGGTTTTGTTATGCTAGTTTTCTTTGTGACTCTTGCATGGTATGTTGGGCGAGGCCCATTTGTATGATGGGCTAGGCCCATTGCGTGATGAGTTAGGCCTATTTGTATGTTGGGCTAGGCCCATGGAATAGGAAGGGCTAGGCCCATTGTATGTTATGTAGGTGCTAACTGTCTTTGTGACTTTTGCATCTATATGATCGGGCTAGGCCCATTGGTTTGGCAGGGCTAGGCCCATTATGGTGGGTTGGGCCCAATATGTGGGCTTGGCCCAATGTGAGGGTTAGGCCCAATGGTATGTATGATATGTGGTATTCTGGGGAACTCACTAAGCTTTGTGCTTACGGTGTTTATGTTTATGGTTTCAGATACTTCCGATTCTTAAGGGAAAGGTCCGACTTGATCACAGCGCATCCACCCATGTTTCCACATCATGATGATTTTGGGATTGTACTCTAATAACTGTTTTCTTATAAAAGTACTTTTAAATATTTGGATAAGCAATTATTGAATGTTAACTTAAAGATAATTAACGTTTTGGTTGAATTAAAAATTAAATTTTTACCTTATAATTTTGGGTTGTTACAAGTTGGTTTCAGAGCCTTTGTTTGAGGGATTCGGACACATTCTCGAGTGTGACTGAACTCAAACTGAGGAATTGATAATTTTTCTTTAAAAAAAAGGGAAAACGAGTTTTAAAAAGATTTATGTAAAAGGAACGAAATTTCTAAAAGGAGTTTTGTAAAGACAAAGGGGGTGTGATGTCTGCAATCGCCCGTGCTCAAGAAAGTGATTCCCAAAATGCACATACATGTTTATTATGATTATATGTTATAAGAATAACATGCTATGATGATGTTAGGGATACTTTCAGGAATTGCATGATAGATTGGCTTGATATGTGATGCCTTGTAGCCTAGGGAGCATTGGATGCTCTACTAGATTGGGAATATGTATTGGTATCAGTAATTGCTAAGTGTATGCTTTAAAAATTGTCTATGGTTATGATCTTATAGCCCCAGAATGATTGATTTGGCCTTATTTCCTGTTCCTCTTTTGGTTGTGGTCCTAGGGTAGAGTCTTTTATTCGGCAATCTATTTGATCCTATATTGTGTATAATTTGCATGTATAAGACAAACGACAATGAGAGTGGGAGTTCCTAGCATGAGTTGTAGTATGTGAGCTTGAATGTTCATTGGTTATTCTATGGATTGTAGTGATACTACGCGAATGTTGCTTGCTTTGTTCTTTGTGGAACTCTTAAGTGATGTGAGTTAGTTATTAAGTGAATATGTTAAGTCACATGTGACAAAGGTTGAATAATCTCAGAGTGATGTATTTGAACCTATTGCACAGCTCTTGTTTGAGTCTAACCGTTGTAGGGATGAATCTTTTACTCTAAGGATTATCTGAGCTTTGTTGCATGTGATTGTATTCATGAGATAGTTAACTGACATTACGGGGAGTTCTTCAGCAAGCTGATGGTAGGGTGAGGTCGAAAACCTAGGAAAGCCTAGGAAATGCTTCAGTGGGTTTTGTTGCGCTGTTTAGCGAGTGCTTGGGATATCATTTTGAGAAGGTGACTTAGAGGATTCAAGATAATTCAAGAGGAAAGTATGGATAGGTATGGAAGGTAGTATTGGGCCCGTACTACTG